CAGCACTCATATCAGACAGTTCACAACCACCTGTATTTCCAGCTCCAGGAGAAACTTATACTCTTCTGGCCTGGTCAGAGAGAGCACTACATAAACACAGATACGTGCATATATATAAATGAAGAATCTCTTGTTTTTAAAACAGTATTGGATGGCCGGATGTGGTGGTGCACGCCTTTAATCCCAGCACTTGGGAGGCAGAGGCAGGCAGAGCTCTGTGAGTTTGAGGCCAGTCTGGTCTACATAGCAAGTTCCAGGTCAGCTGGGGCTACAGGAAGACCCTGTCTCAAAAAGAGCCCCCCCCAAATAAAAAACAAAAACAAAAAACCCACCACCAACAACGAAAAAAATCCCCAAACAGGACTGGATACGTAGGGAGAGTCAGTTTACCAAGTGTACATGGCTACCACTGGGAGGCTCTTCTTCCAAAGGAGATGGCTACCACCTTGGAAATAATGGCTGTTCATGAAGAATATGCACATGTGAACTAAAATGAGTGAGTTTTCAGTCTAAAAGTATATTTCATAAAGATGGTGGCACATGGATATGTATGGAAAATCTGCCTTGTGGCTAAACATTGCCAGAATTCAGGACAAGTTATAAAATCAGAAAGAAATCAATTACCCATTTGTCCATTTTGAAACTTCTGTCTGAAATGTAGAAGAGAACTGTGGATCTTTGACTAAGGGAGCACCTTAGGTTCTTGGGTAATTCAAGGATAATGGTGTAGAAGACAGCTCCCACTGACAGATAAGCAGGTTTTCTTCTAATTGGACACTTCAAGACCCAAACATATAGTTAGAAAAGTCACAGGCATGACCTATTGGCATCGCACGTGTAGGGGTTATATAATTGGACTGAAATAAATAATGCTGTGATCTGTATGGATAGAGGTTATAAAATAAAATCTGACCTAGGGGCTGGAGAGGCACATCTATGATAGGACACTTGCTTAGGACATGTGACTCCCTGGGTCCAATGCCAAACACTGTCAAAAAAAAAAAAAAAAAAAACCCAATGGTACTGAGATACAGAATTCAGATATATTTATCTTGTTTATGCTTTCCCTTGAGTTATTCCTCACGAAACCAAATAATTCACTATCATTCCAATACTACCTAAACTATGCTAAACTCAGGTCAACAAGTCTGGAAGGCAAGTGTGTTTCCTTGCTGAGCTACTCCATGTCCCCACCTTTTCTCTCCTACACAGGGACTGTCACTAAACCTGGGGTTCATTGGTTGAATAGGCTGCTGATCAAAAAGCTCAGGTTATCCTCCTGTCTCTATTTCTCACTGCACAAGGTTTACAAATGCAGGCTGACATACCTATCTTTTAAGTGGGGGCTATGGATTTTAACTCAAGCCCCCATCCTTATTTGGCAAGCAATACACCCACTAAGCCATCTGCCCAACCCAGCCTTTTAAGATAAGTTTAATAGCCCATGATCTGAACTCTACTATGATCTTTGTCAAATCAGCCATGAACCCCAATATTTTCATCACTTTTCTAAACAAACCAATGTTGTTCCTCTTCCAACTCCATCTTCCACTGCTAACTCACTCTCATACTCCACTATGGCTTAACTCCCTAATTCCAAGTTTAACTTCTCTCATGGGCATCAC